TTTTGGTCCAGGTACAGCCATAACAATTTACGGATCACTCGCATCTTGAAATGCTTGGGAGAGATGGGCTATGAACACTACCAAGTGCAGCTGGTAAAGTTCTTCCTGACAGAGACTCTGGTCCACCAGATGTTGCCTCGGGTGCTGAGAAGTGTCTTGGACTACTTCATGTTCACCATCCGACACAAACTCAAACGACGGGAACTGGTCTATTTTGCCTGGCGACACTTCAAGCCAAAGCACGAATTTGTCTGGGGCCCTCACAAGAAACTCCGGAGGTTCAAACCTCAGTCCTCCGAGCTTCTGAGTAATCCAGAAGAGCAAGAACACACCAAGAAAGGAGACGGAGAGGTTGTGGAGAAGGACAATGTTGAGTCACCCCAAGCAATCCTTCAGAGAAGGAAGTCTTCTGGGCAGGAAGAAGCTAGGGAAGCTCTAGAAAAAGAGAAACATGGGTCGTCAGAGGAGAGCTGTGTCACTCACGATGATTTGGCTACAACAATACATCATAACCATATTGAGCAGCCTGTATCCAGCATTAGTGCCACCTTGAGCCTTTCAGCCAGTAACTCTATGCAGGGCAAAGGTATTGGGAGGAGAACAACCTCTGTAGAAGATGGTGATCTAACGCAAGATGGGAAGTTTGTAGAACCCCCATTGAAACCTGTAGATGACTATAAGACTTCCAGAACAACAAATCAATCTCACCTTACTTTGGGAGAGAAGGAAGCCAAGGGAGACAGTGAAGAAGGCAGAGTAGCTTCAGATTGTCCTTTGGAAAGAAAGGATCATGCTGAAGAGCGTGTGGGTGAAGCTGAGGAAGAAAACCTCAAGGAATCCAAGAAGAGGAAGCTGGAGCTGAACAGATTAAGTGGAGAAACCCCTGAGGCATCCAAAAGCTCCAGTGATATTGAGAGGATCTCCCAAAATCTTGGCGAGGTGGTGATCACCAAGGAAGAAATTAACTTCTTGGCCCCCAAAGGTGGCAGTGAGGACTCCAGAGATGGGAAGGAGGTTGAATCCCTTGATGCGGTGAGAAAGAGGCGGAAAGTAGACATTGCACCCAAAGATGATTCTTCAGAAGTAGACAGTGAGGTGATCCCATCTAAAGACCAAGGAACAAGTGATAGTACTCACGAAGTTAAGGAGAACGATCTTGTCTGCCAAGAACAAACCAAAATGGCGGCCAATCCTTCTGCGGACACTTTGATAGGACCTAAGGCTGGAGCTGTGGAGGTGTTGATTGATTCCAAAAAGAATGACCTCCCTGGAGATAGCTGTCTTCTGGAGAAAGCGAACGAACAAGAAGCTACTGCTCCAACAGAAAATGATGTCCCTTGGTTGTCTGAAACTATGACAGTTCATGAAAAGGGTGTAAGAAACAACGCAGGATGGAAAGAGCAGGACCTTGAAGAAACATCTGATGGTTTCCTAAAAAGGAATGAAATCTCCAAAATAAAGGAACGTGAAAACACCACGGCTGGACCAGAAGAAGAGTAGTCCTATCCCAGATCGGATGAAACTGTCCCAAAATACTAGAGGTCCAAAGGGCGTGTATCTTTTCAAAAGCAGGTCAAAATAATCCTTGCTTGGTTTATGGTTTGGTCTCTCCAGGTTTTTATAAACATGGGATATAATTGACATCTAAGGGTAATGTCTTTAGGATGAAAGATTACCACACTGAGGTGTGTGACTTGCGCATCTGATAGTCTCACTTCTAGAAGTCTTATATCTTCTAATTAATTGCCCGAGGGTTTTGTTCTTTTTTAACAGAAAGCACAGGCCTGTTAAATACAATGTATGCAACCTTGCAGGTGTGTTTTGCAGTGTTTGCTAGATGAGCCACAAGAATGTTATTTGCTAAATTAAGTTTGTCTTTGTTAAATAAAGATCTTTTAACTTTTTGAGGTGACATTTCTGGTTTCTTGTTAAGGAAGAAGGAATGAACTAAACGGTCTTCCATAGTTCTGTGTGTCACTGCTCTGGAATAGGGACCCCAGAGCATTAAGGAAGAAAAATAACATATATGTACTCCTCGAATTACAGCTACAATTGAGGCCAAAACATACGTTGCTAAGCGGGACAGTTGTTAAGTGAATTTTGCCTCATTTTACAACCTTTCTGGCCACAGTTGCTAAGCAAATCACTGCAGTTATTAAGTTAGTAATGTGGTTGTTAAGTGAATCTGGCTTCCCCATTGACTTTGCTTGATAGAAGGTCACAAAAGGGGATCACATGACCCCGGGACAGTGCAACCGTCATAAATATGATCCAGTTGCCAAGTATCTTAATTTTGATCACATGACTATGGGGATGCTGCAATGGTCATATATGTGAAAACGAGTCATAAGTCCCTTTTCCAAAGTCATTGTAACTTTGTAATGGTCACTAAATGAAATATAACTTGAGGAATACCTACATCTGTATCTTAACTATTCCCAGTGGTGTTTGGTGACTGGGGGCAAGAAGCTCGTAACTATTAACTAAAATTGAATTTGTTTCTTGTTGTATTGATCGCCTCCTATTAAGCTTTATAGAGTTCCTATGACAGATTTGAGGATGGTGTGATGTAGTGAGAAAGAATGGTAGAACCTGGAGGTGGCATGAAAAGGGGGTTCAGGCTAGAATCCCTGAGTCGCCACAATAGAACTAATCCCAACCCCCTTTGAGTGTCGTTAGATACTCTAAGCAGGTACCAACAGTTAATTGAGGAGATTTGTATGCTTAGGTCAGTGATGGCGAACCTTTTAGAGGCCGAGTGCCCAAAAACCTCCCCAGCCTTGCCCCGCTCCGCCCGCCCACCCCCGCCCTGCTCCACCCTCACCCTGCCTGCTCTCAGGGCCATCCACGGCCCGCCGCAGATCGCCCAAGTGGCCCTGCAGCACCATGGTGGCCATGCCCTCCGCCCACGCCCCGCAGCATCACCTGCTGCCCAGCTGCCATGTGTTTGGCTGCGCTGCTCTGCCTGGGCCGCACCCGGGGGTGACTCTCCTCCAGGGGGACTGCTGATGAGGGGGATGCAGGGAAGGCGGGACTGGGGCGACGGCATGTGTGCCCACAGAGAGGGCTCCGAGTGACGCCTCTGGCACCCGTGCCATAGGTTCGCCACCACTGGCTTAGGTTGAGAAGATTCCTGCGCATAGGCTTTTAGCAATGAAGCATTTTAATGGAGCATTTACAAATGGACCTGGTCTTTCATGCCTAATAGGTAGGAAAGGAATGAAGGAGATTTAATCAAGAGGTGGAAGGCAAATCCATTGGCATTTTATCTCATAAGCTTATCCCAAGTGCAGAGAAATCTGGAAAGAAGCATTTCAGATCACTCAAGGAATCTCTACCTGACCAATCCACAAATAAATGAGGATTGGAAATCCTTACAGTTTCCAAGATTCTATACAGGTAGTTCTTGACTTACAACCATGCATTTAGTAACCAAAGTTACAGTGGATTGCAATCTGCAACCTCAGGCAACTTCCAACAAGCAAAGTCAATGGGGAAAGCTGGGTTTGCTTAAGGACCATGTGATTCACTTAATAACCATGGTGATTCACTTAAGAACTGTTAACCGCAAAAAAATTGTAACACTGGGTGTCACTCACCTAGCCACTGTATCACTTAGCAGCAGAAGTTATGGTTCCACTTGTAAGTTTAGGACTGCTGTATTTTTCACCACCTCGAAGACTGGCATTAGTAAAATCTCTGGAGTTTTAATTCTTGCTTCCTTGACCTTGCCATCTGAGCTTATGATTAACCTGGTACATATAAAGGAAAAACGAACATGTGTTTTAGAAGAATGGAGCACATTGACCCAAAGCACCAGGAAGTTTTACTTTCCCACCTAGATCACTGTCAACCTTTTAGAAGAAACCCAGAAGCCCAGGCCTTTTCTAAAAGCTTTCGGGAAAATAACACGAAATGAGACAATTACATTTAGCCAGACAAACTATAAGTTAATATGCATCATGATAGAAACCAGAAGTAGAGCGGTGTGGTGGCCTAGTGGTGAAGACACTCACCTCCCACACAGTAGGTTGAGAGTTCAAATCTAGGTAGCAGCAAAGGTTTCTCCTAGGGCAGGGGTAGGCAACCTTGGCTCTTTTATGACTCATGGACTTCAACTCCCAGAATTCCTGAGCCAGCCACGCTGAGGAGAAATGGAGAGGTTTCCATGCTGAGCCATGCTGGCTCAGGAATTCTGGGAGTTGAAGTCCACGAATCATAAAAGAGCCAAGGTTGCCTACCCCTGTCCTAGGGCATGAAGGAAAAAAATATCTGCTGTGAACTCTACATGATGTCAGGAAGGGCATCCAGTCAGTAAATACTCCGCTCCATCCAGGTGCTCCAACAAAAACAGACCCTATGCCAAAACAATAAGATAACTATTTTATACAGAAGCAAGACCTTGGTGTAAACTAGTTATCCATCGGTAGTCCTCACCTTATGATCCTAAGTGATTAAGTGAATCTGTCTTGCCCCATTGACTTTGCTTGTTGGAAGCTGGCAGGGAAGGTTGCAAATGAGGAGTACATGGTCCTGGGATGTCACAACTACTATAAATTCATGCTGGTTGCGAACCATCACAATCACATGACCCCAAGAATGTGATGCTGCTCCTTAAGTGTGGGAACCGGTGATAAGTCACTTTTTTCAGTGCTGTTGTAACTTCAAATGGTTGCTTAAGGGGGTGTCTGATCTAATACTCGTGTTTATCTAGCGCAGTGGTTCTCAACCTTTTTAATGCCACGACCCCAACCGGTCGTACGTTGAGGACTAAACCGGTCGTAAGTCGAGGACTAAACCGGTCGTAAGTCGAGGACTACCCAACCGGTCGTAAGTCGAGGACTTTCCCTGCCCGGGAGCGCCGCACATGCGTGGTTCCGCCCCCTGCGCCGGCCGAGGCGTAGCTGGCAAGCGGCAGAGACAGAGCAGGCCGATCACCAGCTGGCCCAGCCCAAGGGAGGTAAGGCACCCGCCGGAAAAGGGGGAAAAAATGGCGGACAAAAAAAATGGCGGACAAAAAAAATGGCGGACAGCCTTGCTTGGCGACCCCCGTGAAATGGTCGATCGACCCCAAATGGGGTCCCGATCCACAGGTTGAGAACCACTGATCTAGCGAATCTAGGCTAATTCCCTGTTTGAGCCTCCCCCTCCAACTGGGATGTTTGCTCCCCAACCCTACCGTTCAGCTGGCCACCCAACTCAGACAGGCCAAAGTATGCACCAATTTCAAGAAAGGATTTCTCCTTCATTCGTTTCCATCCATTGCTTCTTGTCCTGCCTTCAGGACAAGATGCTGTTCTTTGTGGCGGTCCCTTAGATAGTGGAAGATTTCTAACATGTCACTCCTAGGAGGGTGATGCTACCAATTGCCAGTCAACCTCACTATCTTGGACAGGTCATGATGGTGAACTCTCCCTTCATGCTGACTGGGGAATGCTGGGAGTTGAAGTCCATACAACATCTTCAAGTTGCTGATGTTGAGAAACATTGCTCTAGATAGGGTAGGCAACCTTGGCTCTTTTACGACTCGTGGACTTCAAATCCCAGAATTCCTGAGCCAGCCATGCTGAGGGGAAAGGGAGAGGTTTCCAAGCTGAGACATGCTGGCTCAGGAATTCTGGGAGTTGAAGTCCACGAGTCATGAGGGGGCCATAGTTCCCCCATGCTGGCTCAGGAATTCTGGGAGTTGAAGTCCACGAGTCATAAAAGAGCCCAGATTGCCTACCCCTGCTCTAGATTCAGGGATGTCAGCAAGGAAAGGGTCAAAACGTCAAGATGGCATCCGCCACTGTGCATTTGAAACCCTGCCCTGCTTGTACATGTGTTGTGCATGCAGTGCATGTCAAAATGGGGCAGGCCTTGGATTGCAGAGTGGCAGCTGCCTCTGACTTTTTTGACCATTTCCTTAGATGCCTCTGCTTGGTTGGTTACTACCTTGCATGCAAGCTGAATTGAGAAACTTATCTTTTCAATTGGCATTCGTGATGGGATCCTCTTCCAAGAGTTATTCTTGTTTTAAACATCTGTTAGGCCCGTGGTGGCGAACCTATGGCACGGGTGCCAGAGGCGGCACTCAGAGCCCTCTCTTTGGGCACGTGAGCTGTCGCCCCAGTCCTAGGCCTTCAGCTGGGTTTTATAAAACCTTTTCGCTTTAGGCCTCCGCCGCCTTGTGCAAAAAAAAAAAGGTTCAATCAATCAATTTCAACTTCTCACACAAAAAAAAAGATCTTGCAAAGTTGGAATTGATTGATTGAACTTTTTAGTCCCACCCAGTTGGCTGTTATCACCGCCCACCCAGTGGGCCATGCCCACCCAATGGGCCACATCCACCAATTGGGCCATGCCCACCTGGCACCCGACAATACATAAGTGGGTTTTCGGTTGCAGTTTTGGGCACTCGGTCTCTAAAAGGTTTACCATCACTGTGTTAGGCTGAAGAAGTAACTTCCAGTCCATCAGTGATCTTTTTCTCAGTTTCATCCTGCTGAGAAAGATTATGCCAGTAATAAAGGAAGAATTATGGGGCAGCAGGAGGGCTTTGTCATTGATCTGAGTTACCAGAAGGATGAATGGACTCATTTTTACATCTTTAAGCCTTCAACGGTTCAGATAATAATCACAGCATGTACTTACTAAAGGAAGATCAATTATCAGCCATTAGCTGGCAGGCTTTATGGACTTCTTCACCATGAATTATGTGATATTTACCAGTATCACAGACAGCTTTATAGAACCAGGCTTAAAGATTATTTAATGAATAATCTAGGTCCTTAATTGGATGAACAGAGAAACTCAACCAACCTAGAAGGGAAGTAAAAAAAAAGTCACGTAGGGCTGAATGGCTGTAGCAGGATTTGTCAACCTTGGCTACTTTAAAATGTATGGACTTCAATTCCCAGAATTC